TTAATGATGGACTGTTTGTACGTGTAACTTAAAAACAAGCCACCAAAAAACCCATCCCTATTTAGTTTTCCCACTTTTTTTATATCCTAAAATGGAAAAAATCTTTCTTGCTAACTGACAAAAGACTGTAAATAAGCTTAGGAACTGTGGTATTCGTGATGTCACGATTCTGACGAAATTAAGTGATGTTCTGATTTCTACAGCATACAAATATATTACCCAACTAAAAAAAAATCATGAACTTGGACCTATTTTACACCCTGGATGACCAACAATTTTAACTTCTCCAAATCAATGTATACTAGGAAGAATTATTCAAAATGATCAATATCTTACCTACAAAGAAATCATCACTAAGCTTAGTAATAAGGTTAAAATATCAGCACAAATGATAAATCGTAAGCTTAATAAGCTTGGTTACTGCTCAAGTCATCCCCAAACAGTATCTTTACTTATCACGAAACAATACAAATAATGTTTAGAATGGGTGACTGCTCATGCAAGGCAGAACTGGAAAAATGTCGTATTTTTGGATAAAACTACCTTCCAGATGTTTTGTAATACTATGACAGCATTTTACAAGACCGGAATGGATGTTCCACAAAAGGAGGTTTCAAAACATTCAGTGAAAGTTCATGCATGGGTGTTTTCTCGGTGCGCAGAACAATCGGCTTCTATATTTTTATTCAAAATATGGATGGGTCGCTCTATTGCGATATTTTAACTAATAATCTTTTTGAAAATGCATCTAGGATCATGCCATTGTGTTGGGTCTTCCAGCAGGATAATAACACAAAATATACAGCAAAAGACACAACCGAACTTCTTTATCGTCAAGTTTTGAAAATCCTTGATTGACCCTTCTATAGCTCTAACATAAATCCAATAAAGAATCTATAGGCTATTATTAAAAAAAAGGTGAAGAAACAAGTAAGCAAAATAATTAGAAAAAAAAAATCAGTATTATACAATGGCATAAAATAATTTGAGAAGAATGGGAGGGTATTTCTGTAGACCTATATCTTAATTTAATAAATGAAATGTCAGGGCGATTAAATGACATTGAAAATAATGTAAAAAAATTGATCATTAAATGTACATAGATTTTTAATAGATGTTACACAGACGTCATTGCAAAATTGCAACCCGAATAAATAAAACCTGCGAAATTTATATAAAAAAAATGATTCTTGTTATTTATGACGAGCACTGTAAGAGATATTGTCACTTTCTTTATGTATAAATTTTAAACAATTTTACAAATGATGTTTACTTACAAAAAAAAAAAAATTAAATTAAATTATTAAAATTAAAATTTTTTTGGTTAATTAAGATTTATAGATTGTAATAAATTTAAAAATAAATTAATAATATTAAAAATTAATATAAAAATAAAATTATAAAAAAAAATTATTATAGATTTTTTTAATATAATTAAAAAATATATAAGATTTTTAAACTTGTTTAATGTTTTATTAAAAATTATATTTTAATGTAACAATGGTTTTTAAAATTTTTATTTGTAAATTTATAATATAATTAATATACAAAAGGAAAGGTAAATAGATTTCTTTTAAAAAAAAATTAAAAATAAATAAATAAAAGATTTTTTAATACAATATTTTTTAAAATTTATATCAATAATTTATATTTATATTGTAATATATTAACTTTGCAAAGAAATATTATTCCAATTAAAAAAAATTAATAATGATATATATATTTAATTTTTAAAAAATTTTAAAAATATAACAAAAATTTTTTAATTTTAATTAATTTTAACAAATATAAATAATAATATTTTAATTAATAACTTTTTAACAAGAATTTTTTTATTAAATAATTTTTATTTAAAATTTTAAAATTTTTTATAAAAGATATAAAACAAATAAATAAAATATAAAAATCAAATTCTTAAACTTTTTACATCAATATTTAAATATTAAAAAAAAATAATTAAGAAATTCAAAAAAAATTTTTTTAATATATAATTACAAATTAATAATGTTTATAAATAACAACAATAATAATATATTAAAAACAATTAAAAAATATTATTATATTCAAAATTAGAGTAATTTAATCAAATAAAATTACTAATATAATAATATGTTTTTTAAAAAAATCTGGTTATATCTATTTAAAACAAAACAAATTATTAAATAAATATTGGATTTTCCAAATAAATAAATAAATATGTATATTTTGTTTCATAATTTTTTTAAAATATATTTAAACCATAATAAAAACACTAGTTTTATTAAAATAGATAAATATATTATTAATAATAATAGAAAGAAACATTTTGATAAAAATAATTAATTATAATAAGTAAAAGATTAACAAAATATTTTAAATTTGAAAAAACAAAATGTAAAGTTTGTGAATAGAAAATCAATTATATGAAATAAGTTAACCAATAATTTTTTTTTTCTGTAATTAAACAAGTGCATACTGTTTATTAAATCTTTATGAAAAATAAATAATATATAGTACATTATATTGTATAAACTATTCTACTGCCTTGAACACCTATCTTTGACTAATATCTCTAAGTGTGACTTTGAAGATTTCTTTAAGATTTACTCACTTATGAAATTCAATTCTAAGAATTATTGCCTATAAGTTAACCAAGAATATATTTTATAGAAAATCATAAATAAAAATAAAATAAGCAATACAGATATTATACTATAAATATAATATAAAATATAACTTATATAACGCAATCAAATTATTTAAAATAATATACTGTATGTTGATTTTTAATAAATTAAAATTATTATAATAGAATTAAGGTATTATAAATATGATAAAAAAACCTTCGAGAATACCGTATGGTTATTTGAAATTTTTTTAAATTTGTTTCCAATACCGTACGTGCGTGTGTGACTTACGGTGTTTTTCGTTTCGTTTAATATTATTGATTGTACATTTGAAAGATTAAAAAAATGTAATACGTTCGTTGTCATATAGTCCAAGATCGGATTTATTTTGATGTTTTCTTTGTTTTTTTAAAACGGGCGTGTGAGTTTATAAATAAATTAACAAATATTTTCAAATACTTTGAAACAACAACAAATGTAATTTGTGAACTATAAATAAAATAAATAGCCTTTCTATGCTAAATTTATACCGTGATCATAAATGGACAACAAATTTCGATTAGGTAATCGGAAAATCATACCTCAATTTGACTTGCATTTTACCGAAGGCTCAAAAATTTTTGAAAGAATGCAATGACAATAGCCATTTATTACAGGCCTCAAGCTAATTTGATAAAAAAGAATGCAAGTTCTTGTGCTTACGGTTTACCTGAATTCTTATTGTTTTTAATCTAGTTCGAAATTGTCATTAAGATTATTATTCATCGACTTTTGAATTTTATTGATGTGCAGTATAAGGGCTTAATTGCTTTTTGATACCGATACACTTATAGATATTGGGATTAGTGCAATTAACTAACGATGTTATACACGGTTTTCTAATTTCATTGCAAGATCAAAAAGTCAAAACAATGCCGACGGCAATTATCTATAATTACCATAAATGATATGGTGAAACCGGTATGCCAACTTCATCTCCAGAGTATATATTTTCGGTTATAGCTCGCCGTTGGCGTATTTGGGATCGAGTCAAAGAAACAAAACCCCTCGTTCCCCATGGGAATCACGAAACGTAGTCAAAGCTCATGGATCGCGCGTTTGATCAATCCCGCGTACGAAGATTTGAACCCGAGAAATTTTTTCTATTTGTTTAATTTACTTAAATTTTCTGAAGATCTCTATTATCACTTATCGGATAGCATTGACGATGCACGACAGTATGCAATGAAACCCAATTTCGGAGAGACAAACTAATAAAGCAACAAATCTTGCTTCAATTTGGCTAATGCTCTGAGACAGATGTGTGAAATTCACGGAGCGTAAACTCGTTACCCCAAGATTAGCAATAAAAAGTGCACAGTACATAAAAAAAAAAAACCAGATTGCATCGTTACATTGCAGCATTTGTTTCTAAAATGCCACGCATGTACATATTTGGATTAGCACAGGAGAAAACATTGGTGTTTTGAGATATTCAATGTTGAGGTGATTACAACCTGCGTTTATTGTTATTTGTTTCGTACGGATATTGTCATAAGAAAAAGGTAGGTCAACACTGTGTTTGTCGAAAAGCGTATGTACGGAGCATGTCTAATAATTCGGTGAACCATTATTTGACAAATATAGGAAGCATAATCCAAATTTCGGTTATGTACGTAAGATATGTAATGAACGTCAACGACATCTTTATTATTATTGTCCATTGCACATGATATATTATTATTGGTCACAATTCTAAAATAAGAAAGCTTCTCTCTTCCAGTAAATACCCTTTGTCTATATGGAAAAGCGATCCGAATTTCCAGAGATGCTAATGTCATCGCAATATATAATGTGTTGGTGGTGAGTAGCACAAGAATTGGTTCGTCCATATAAACCATTCCTTACTCATACCTTACACCAACAAATCATTCTTTATTGTCTTTCATCCTCGAAGTGCACGTTTCATTCATTAAATTTTGGCCGGTTGACTTGGATTCAACCTGCACACGAGGAAATTTTTACACATTAGGAATTCCCGGATGCATAAAGAAATTTCACAACACTTGTTCCCATTATCCAGTATCGCCATAAATTATTTCATAGTTCCATAGTTCTTGTGAAATTACTTGCTTTTTCATTCTTCTGACATTACATCACATTGTTTTTTCGCAAGGAAAAAAATTTTAAACCAGAAACATTCTCATTTATAACTCTATTAATTTTCGTCCTCGTTTATATACTTCATCTCGCTACTTCTTAAACGAGCATACATATCAACCTAATCCATATTCAGGGAACTAAATAATTTCATGCGCGCGATTTCGAAAATCAAAAACCGTATCAGCAAAATTTTATTCATATTATTTCTAGTCTGATTCAAATTCTCATCATATATGAAAGCCACAATAATCCATGAGAGATTTATCATCATTCTCGAGAAAAGTTTCGAAGTCATCACCATCGCTACATAATAACAATCGTCAACAACCACCTCGTCGTCATATCATTTTTCCTATCCAACGTTTTTCTCAATTCAATTTTTTTCTCCTGCTTCTGCTAATTCAACATGCCTTCGCTGTAACTCCAAGGTGGGGACACACCGCTACACTGGTGAATAACACCATCTACTTCTTAGGCGGCAAGTCAAACATCGATCTATTCATCACCGACTTTCTCGCACTTGACGTCTCAACAGGTTTTTCTGTTTCCTCTCCACCATGGCTATCGCTTAATTTCACCGATGCCCCTCCTTTGTCTGGTCACACGGCCACACCTGGTGGTGCGAACAATTCGAAAATTATTGTGTTCGGTGGTAGCTTGATTGATTCGGTTTATAATTTTTCTACGGTAGTCGGTTCACTTCCAAAGTTGTACACTTATGATCCTAGTAATGATAGTTGGCTGGTTCCCACCATATCAACTGGCATCACATTTCCCAACGGACCACCAAGAAGATATCAACATTCCGCTGTTACCCTAGGCGTGCAAACTAATTCGAAGTGGATCGTGAATATTACTGACGGAGCTAACAATGAGCAGGACATTATGAATAGTAATATGAATGGAAAAATGATATTATACGGAGGATACGTGGATGCTTCCACCGGTTCACCAACCGCAAACGCACTGAGTGACTTCTGGGGGCTGGACACGATTGACATGGATGGTTGGATAGGCTATCCTATGTCTAACAATTCTCCCGGACGGTTGTATAAACATACCGCTAGTGTGATTAATGAAACAAAAATGGTGATCTTGGGCGGCATCGGGGAGGATGGTGTGATGAGAATGGATACCGTATATGTATACGATTTTGTTGAGTCGGTGTGGTCGATTCACAGCGCTGCTGGTCAAGTTCCCGCACCCAGAAGAGATCATTCTGCTGTCGGTAAGTGTGAGGTCGATTTTTCATGATTCCGTGTAGTTTAAAAAGTGAGATGGTTATGACATGCTATACTTGTTAGGTCATCAAAATTTATATGGATTTGATTTTTTACCAATTCTCTATAGTTTTCGAATCATCATTAATAATTTACGGTGGCGCCGATCTTAATGGTACGACTATCTATGGCGACGTGGCCAAACTTAATACCTCCACCTGGAAATGGTCTGCACAACCAACCATAAATACGCCCCTTGGTAGATTCCAACATACTGCCACTTTGGTAGGGATAAACATGATTGTTGGATTTGGTAAATGTTCAAAATTTTTATTCTTGTGGGAGAGGGTCCCATTATTTTTACAATCTATCGTGATATCCACCGTCTCATCATTCTCTCTCTTTGTCTAACACAGGAAAAACTAATGTCAACTCCAGCACGGCAGACAAAAACATTTACATTTTCAACATTCTAAATTGGACTTGGGTAGACACCTATATTCCGACCACTCTTGTCAATCACTACCACATAAAGCCATCATCATCTTCCAGTTCGATTTCCCGTGATATGATAATAGGCATAGCCGTTGGCGGTTCGGTGATCCTTTTATTGTTATTAATGGCATTGATTTACTGCCTGAACAGAAGATATAAGATTTTTGGGTTCCCGTGTTTTGGCACGCAAGAAAATTCTCCACCACAATCGCCGCCAAATGGTGATAGCGATCTGGAGAGGAATGATGATATGATTAACGAGGACGAACAGAGCTTACATATTATAGATAATAATCCGATGGTAGAACATCATGGATCTTTCAGCGGATCGATTAGACAACCTAAATCGCTTGACTTAGAATTCGGCGATGAAATAAATACACCTTTCACCCCCAGTGAATCACCCTCATCATCTTCTCCAGTGAAATTTCTGCAGTTATTGCCGAGTAGTAGTGACACGAATACAAACAATAACGATTTTAAAATAGAAACAGTGATGGCTAGTAGCGAAAATCTGTTGGGTGCAGCGAATCCGGTTGCATCACAGACGCCAAACCCGGAGTACAGAACGTCGTCACCTGTGAGTGGCGCAAAAAATGAGAGGAGAAGTGTGAAATTCAGCGAAACAAATACAACCATTGCACCTACCGAATTCGGAAGTAGCAATAATAGTATGGAAAGTCTGAGCATAACCAGTGAAAATGGAAACAGAGTGATTGAAAATGAAGATGATAACCAAGCAGGCCCAAGTAATTCGTGGAGAGCCAGTTGGATGAACTTGGGTAGCATGAGTAATTTCTCTGGTTTAAGGAGAAACAGTTTCAGTTTCATATTTAGGAGGAACAGTAATAATTCAAGAAACAATGAAAGCGGTTCCGCTGGAAGAAGATGGAGAAGTAATTCGGATGGAGGCGGTAATAGGATTAGAGGCAGGGGTAGAAGTTTTTTACAACGTAGGCGTTCAACAGGTGATGAAGAGACGAGGTCCAGATCCAGCATCGATAGCGTAAACATTAGAAATATTGGCATGGGATTGGATGTACAACACCATCGTGGTGACTCGGTGGTCGTGCCGAGACGTGAGTTGAGAGTTGTTAATCCGGATGTTCGTGATGAAAGCGAGGACAGTAGTTCCGAGAGTGGATCATCCGCTGAAGCTGGTGGTCATCATTTGGAAGGAGAGTGAAACGTCATAGTTAAGAATTCAACTAATTATAATTGTATATTTGAACCTTCCCTTTTTACTAGAACTTTTAGAACAAAAAAAAATTTTTCTTCTCATTTACTCTGATAGAAATACTGGTTATGACTGACAGGGTAATTAGAAGAAAATAGCTTGTACAGTATATTATTACCTTTAATTTTTTACCTTGTAATTAATTTTTAATCAAAAAATTTTCCGTTTGAATTTTAAAACAACCACAATGCATACTCAACTGCATACTCAACACTTAAAATAAACACCTGCATCAAAAAACACCTATTTATTGTATTTGCATCTACAGTCAGTATCTTGGAAATTAATTTCATAAAACGCGTGAAATGTGTATTGTAACCTTCGTCTTATTTGGTGCTTCTACTAAGACCATTAATAGTACAGTAATTATCATATTTTCATGATACCAGTCTTAAATGATAATCAAAAACGATATTTAAAATATCATTTTTTTTTTCAGAGTCAGATGATAACATACAAATTGATTTTGAAAAACCATATACTGTACTGTATATCAACTTAGATACAGATAAATATATTTTGTATACAGTAAATACTAATTGTTTTAAATATAATATCATATAAAAATTGATTTTTATAAGTATGTTTTTATAATCATATTGTTGACATCTTGCATAACAAGCTGTTGCTTCTCGGATTAGAAACTTATATGATGCCAAAGGTAAGTAGATATTTCTTTTCTTTTTCGAGGGGGCATATTTTAACAAACATTCTCTTTTCTTTTTGTTGCCTGCATTTCCTTAACAAGTATTATATTTTCTTTTAATAATCTCTTTTTTTTTATAGCAAGTACTAAAATTAAGCAAGTTAATTAATATTTACTTCTTTAGACAATATCGATCCTAAAACTAAAGAATAAGTTACTAGAAAAATTTTTTTAAATATATTGTATAGTGATGATCCAATTAAATTAATTTTTGATTTAAGATGTATTTTTAATGTTTTAAAAAATTTTTAAAAACCAATTTTATAAAAATAGTTGATATATTATTTGAAATATTTTTAATATTTTGAATTTTATAAAAGATAAATATTATTATTATCATTTAATTTTAAATTAAAGTTTTACAATAAACCAATTATTAATTTATTAATAATAAAACTTTAATATTATATATTATTATTATTTATAAACATATTTATTTAAGGTTTTTTTTTAATTTAATTAATATCTTTTAATTACAATAAAAAATGGTATTCCAAAAACATTCATATTACATTATACATATATAAATGTTTCAAATATTAAATTTTATTATTAAAAAACAATTTACAATTTGAAGTTTTATATTAATTGTAAAAAATAGATGTAATAATTCATTATAAAATGATTTTACTATATAAACAAGTTATATACATGTTGATAAAATTTTAAAAAAAATTTTTTAAATGATTTGTAATAAACATTAGATTGGTTTACTTTTTGATAAATAAATTTATATTAAATTATATTATATTATTAAATAAATTAAAACTATAGTAAAGCATTGATTTTTTTTATAAAAAGTAAAAAATAATATGGTTAACATACTATATATATATATATATTGTATTTATTTAAAATTTAAAATAATAATTTTGATTTAAATGTAACTATAATTGTTTAAAATATATAATAGTTTTTCAATTATAACTCAGAATACAATGTAATTAAAATTTTTTTTACAATAATATCAATTGCTTAATAACTCTACTTGACTTTTTTACCCTTTATTCTAAAAAATCAATAAAAAGAAATCCTTTTTTTAATTTAGATTTTAAATTTTCAAAAGTATCATTATTATATTTTTATTTTTATTTTCATTAAAAAATTATTAAATTTTAATATATTGTATATACAGTATCCAAAACGAATATAATTATTTTAAATATACGTCAAACTTAATTTTTAATATTTTGCTTAATTACAAGTAGTTAATTATATTCATGCTCACAGTCTGCAAGATATAATAAAACTCATTTGATAAGAATTTACACAAAAAATATTGATGAAAGTATGCTTACACTCAATAATCGTTGTTTAATTAAAGAATGCATATATTTAACAAATATTAGCAAAATATGTTTACCGCCTAAAAGTATAGAATATTATCTAGATCAATTAAAACACTTTTCTGTTAATGAAACTATGCACACACTCTATAATTATTATTAAATAATATCACTTTGGATCAATTAAGATTCCTTTGATATGAATTTGCTCAATAAATATTAATTATCCTTTAAAGTAAAGAATATAACTCGAATTATCAACAAATGTAAAAATATTCTTACTGTCTGTAACCGTTACTAAAGTAAAAAATATAATACGAATTAATTAAAATACTTTGATACGAAAATATGCTTACTCACTAAAAGTAAAGAATATGACTCAAACGCTTTTCGTAAGAATATACTAACAAATAATACTTATATTTTAAAAGTAAAGAATATGGACGATTAATTAAAACACCTGTGATATATACTGTAACTCAGATTACAGTAATTAAAAACACCTTTGAATATGATGAAATGCTTAAAAATAAATTATATGTACAAAATCAAAATAGAGCCTGTCAGAATGCGACATTATTCATGTGACCAAACGGCAATCAAATTCATGACACTTCTCTCTGGTTAGACACGCATTTTCTTTTATTTCTATTTGTTCTTTTTGTTTCTAAAATCTTATTTTGTAAAATATAAATAAAAGTTGGAGAAACTATAGAAAGTTCTCGACAAGATCGTACACACCTCAGATTGGGGATATCTCAGAGATCCTGGAGATTTCTAATGTCATCAGATAGTAGGATCGCAGTATATAATGACCATTGCTGAAACTGCCCAATTTTTATAAACATCACTACTTAATTGCCACTTAATAGTTACTTAATAGTCAAATAATA